AGCCGGAAGGCCGTCGTCGGACGGTCGCCGGCCGGTGCGAGTGTCTGAGAACTTTGGGGCCGAGCTGGTCTCGTAGACTACATTTCGTCATCGGTCGATATCGATTCATCGATTTTTGCCAACTTTGAGCTACTGAGCCAAGAATTGGTAAAGTAGGTGAATGAGGGGCTGATTATGGATAGATATTAGTTCTCAAGACCAATTACCTTTACCGACTTTATCGATTTTTTGCCAACTTTGAGCTACAGTTGTGTGATCGGCACAGGGAGTAAGCAAGTATGCTGAATTAGAATTATCAATTTGCGTATGTATATAAACATAATATATGCAATCAAAGTCATCTGCAATCATTTCCAGCGATATTAGGCCAAAATATACGATCTTAAAATTTTGAACGATTTTCATGAGGACGTGAGTTCGTATGCTCACAGTTTGGCGATCAATACAGGTAAGGGCCTAGTTTAAAGGCAGCGTACACCCAAAATTTGAGTTACCGAATTTCCAAGATCTTTCTACACCGTGTATATACTGGGCCCAGAAGAAGACCAACTGCGTTGGTCCGGTCTCCCAATGTTGCTTCTGAGCGGAGAAAACCCCCCTCAATTTTCTTTCATGCCGCCCCTTTTCTTTCGCTCCGCCTCCTCCGGACGAATCCATAACAGCGTAAGCTGCAATTGCAGTTGCAGTTGCTGTTGCAACATCTGTTGCATTTGTTTTGGGTGTACGCTGCCTTTAAGCATGCTCTGAGAGTACTGTCTTTAGTGATTTCAAATTGCAAAGAGGAGCAGGTAAGTTGTCCAACAGATACGCGAAAGTATTCACGAACTTGCGTAGTATCGCAGCATTCCTCTCAGCATAACCCTGCCAAAAGAAATTACACTGCAAAAAGAGTACTATTTTCGTAATCAGCAAGTCTGGAAACCTCTATGGGAGAAGTTTCCGGCCAATCCAAGATCATCAATATTTCAGCCAAAACCCGTCGGCGAGGTTCCAGAGCCTAGAACGAGAAAAAATCAAAGAGCCCAAATTCCTCGGAGAACTTGCGCATAGGGGTTATCTAGCCTGCTGATCACGAAAAACACACCTGCTTTGCAGGTTGGCGTCTTACTGTATGGTTACGGTAGCCAAAATTTGAGAGACATCGATTTTTTCAAAATTCACCGGCCTATCTTTCTCTATGAAAAAGGGATTCTCCACCAATCGCTATCGCATGATAATCTACGGCAACAGCTCTACCATGTGTTCTTCGCTGAGTTACACTACTACGAAAACCCGTCCTCACACAAAAATCGAGCAGACTGAAAACGGGATTGTAGGAGAATATAGTATATCAGAAGATTCATCTTGACGAGCTGAACATCATGCTTCCTTCAGATTCATGTTTTATGCAATCTGAAGGAAGTTATGAAGAAAAAACGAAAAAAACGCGGATCGTCAGTTTTTGCGTTTTCTGTCGAATAATTAGCGTGGGTACTGTATATATGGCGAGGCGAAAATGTAAGCTTTGACACTGGGGTGCTCTACTTTATTTTTGCTGGTTGTTCAAAACAAGAGTGGAAATGGATGCTATGACCAGCAACCAGCTCTGCACTTTCTAGAAGACAACTAGATTCTCGTGACGGTAGAGACTCGAGAACAGGGTGTGCTTGAAGACAATCAACAGTGAGTGTGGAAAGGAAATCAGGCTTGACAGATTGATAACGAGACACAAATTAACAAGAAGTTTTTAGCTCTATGATTGCGTCGGGGATAAGGTTCTGTGTTATACACCTTCCTGCCCGTTCACATTAACAATGTCAGAAGAAGGTTAAGCAAGATACACAACGATATAAGGCGGTTAACATTACACTATGGAGCAAAAATAAAAACATGTGCCAATTGGCACGTAGAGCCTTGGAGCTGCGAAGGGGCAAATTCCATGAGGCCTAGCTACCTATGAGAAAAACGCTAGACAGTACAATAGTGCTTGAGTGACTGTTATACTCGCTCAGTTTCTTTTTCTTGTAACACATTCACTTTTCTCCTCCTCTCTCGCAAACGGTCGGCGAACTCCTAATACTCCGGCCTAGACCATCAACCAAGAATAGAAATAGGAAGGCTTGGTGAAAGGAACCTGGCCTGTCTAGTGGGTCTTACTTAAACGAGAAGTCAACGCAGGATTGCGGCTTCACGAACAAATGCTCCCGTCAAAGAAAACATTGTAGCTTCACAGTGAAGACGATCTACTGCCTATCTGAAGTCAATGGAAAAAAAACGCGATGCATTCATTGTATCTAATTGCTGAGAACGAATGAATTCAAAGGATAGGTCACCTTCTGTCGCCCTTCCTCTCTCTCATTCCCCAGTTCCCCCCCTCCCCCTGCCCCCCTCCCCATCTTTAAACAATTTATTACGATGATAGGAAACTTCTGCAACAGCGCATCTTTTGTTAAAAATTGCGCAAAGCAGTTCATAAGTTCTCTAATTGGTTGCATTGCGAACTACGTCGCATTGCGCAGTTAAGGCGAAGGCGGGTCGGTACGGCGGCGACACGACGACGATTGACGAAGACGGGTATGCGTGTGGAAATCCATGCGAGTTTCCGTTTAGCGGCACACATTCCGCGCGACATCGCCGCCGTCACCGCCGCCACCACATCAGAGCCAGCACACATCGCCAAACCTGATAGGGAACGGTGAAATCGGGCGCCGCCGCGCGGATGTATCTCCGGCTCGCTCTCCACTTGTCCCTTCTCACTTCTTCTTTTTCTTCTTCTTCTTCTTCTCCTTCTTCTTCCTCTTCTTCTTCTTCTTCTTCTTTCAAAACATCGTCATTCTGTTTTTTTAATAAAATAATTTGATTTAGAGCTTTTGAAAGCCGACATCGACATCGACAACGCTGCGACAAGTTGTCGTGATTGATTCTATCAGTCGATAGATGCTTTCCTTTTGAAACCTTCAAAGAAAACGTTCGCATTTATGTGTGTCCATTGTTCTCAAGGTCGTCTTGTGTACCTAGATTACAACGTTGCTGTTCCCAATTAGCACATCAACAACCCAGATCTCAGAATGTTTTTACTTTTTTGCCAGAATCACTCTGTAAAAACCCTATTCTCTAAATCGGACCTTCACAAAAAAGCGCACAGATTTGCTTTTCTTTTATCAAAAAAATTGTTCAGCTGATTCAAAATCATTTCGTATCAAAGCGTGCTAGGCATTTCAGTACGAAGTTACTTTTCCGGCCACATGAATTCAAAATAAAATGCATAGCAATACAACAACACATTGGTAATTTTGAACTACTCTTTCAACTTTCCTGAAAGAATGAAAGCACTTTTTCTCTTTTTCTTGACCTCCACTTTCCCCCCCCCCCTCCTCTCTACCCTACCCCCAACATTTCCTATGCTACTAAGATTTTAGAATTAATATCACAGTTTGATTGAAAGAAAAGTAGTCCTTTCCCTTTTTGGAGTCCGATTTCTAAGATACAAAGATTCTCTTCTATCATGTTTTGTTGCGGCCTAGTGACCGCGATAAAGCAAGCTGATTCTGTCTTTGGCGATCACGCGGATTCCTGAAATATCCGAAACGAGAATAGAATCTATGAAATCCTAAGTATGTAAAGCAAACGCTACTTTCTCTTCAGATAACAAAGGTGCTCCTTATTTATAGGTAGGGTGGTAGCTGTTTCTCCCTACCACTTTCTGTAGCTCCCCACCGTCTACGCTGCCAGCTCCGTCTGCCTTTAGTGCTGCTTATCACTTTCCGAGAATTTGCCAAAGCTGGAGCTTAATCCATAGACATTCTTGAACCATGGCTATCCTTACAAAGACATTGCGTTTAGCTGCATTTACGACTTCAAATAAAATCGAAAACGTTCGCGTACTTTTCTAGAGGATTGGAAATGCCAAAAGTGCCTTTTCTCATTGAGAGAAAAATTCAATATACCAGATTTACAAGGATTATGCATCGAATTTGCCAAATATCATCTTTAGAATTTTACAAATTTCCTTCAAGATGAGCAACGCAAGGCCCATTAGTCTATAATCCTAGCTATCTTCGAGATGTACTTTTTGAAATCTCCCAAACTTATTTTTAGAGCGAACTCAAGTAACTCAGTGACCAACTAATTACTTGTTCAAATAATTATTTCCTAAATGACTTTTCTTCAGAGTTTTCTGAATTTTTCAGAGTTAAACAACAAAAGGGTTTTTGGTCCGATTGTTAATCAATTAACCCTTTTTGTCTGGATTTTTTTCAAATTTTTTCGAGTTTCCTAGATTTTTCTTCAGTCCATACTTACTTACTAAAATTTGCTGAGTGATTTTCTTTGATACTCTTAGATTTTTCCAGGATGAACTATATACAACCGCATGAGTAGTAATCTTAGTCAAACAGTTTGTTTACGGGTTGTTTCCCGAACAAGTTTTTTGGCTCGCAAGTTCGCAGAAGTACGAACGACGAACGAGGCAGTTTACCTAACGACTTCCTACTCATATAACTTCTAACATTTGTTCAACGCATATCCTATCCTTTCTTCCTCCCCTTACTCCTCATTTCCTCCTTTCTCTTCCTTTTTCCTCATTTCTTCTATATCCATATGCAATGATATTTATTTAAATTAAAGACCACATCAAGGAGGGTTAAAAGCTTTTCCATATTCAGCTCGTTACCCTTCTAACACAGAGTTATCCATGTTTGCGTCCCTGGATTCCAGCTATAAAGCAGACTTTTCACTTTCCTAATAAAAACCTGGCTCTGCTGCCAGTGTTAAGTCTCAGCAGCAAATTCACCTGCACTTCTTTCTTTCTAGCTGCAATAAAAAGCCGGTAGAATGCTAAAGATGAACTAGACTACTTAGAAATTGGGCTAAAAACACTCCACGCTTCAGAGCGCATTAGCGCCTTTTTCCAGTTACTGCACCATGTTCACTTTTCATCTTACACACATACATATTGCTCTTGTCACATTTCTTCTAAGAAGCGTCAACTTCGAATCACTTTAAAAATGCTTTTTCTAGATATGTTGTCACGGTTGCAACTAATACTTGCCGCTGGTTTACTCGGTTCTGCTGTACTTGTCTGCTGTCAACGTATGTTTTACTTTTTTTAAAAAATTTCTCGTCTTGTTAATGGCTGGGAAAACTGACATTTTACCTGTTGAGCGTTTAGTTGGCATGGGTAAAAAAAAGTAAACCTGAGAATTTTTAGAAACTCCGAGTAACTTGATGTTTGAAAAATTCATTTTTTATTCACAAAATTGTAAAAACCATCGAAAATAACACAGAATTACACTAAATGAGAAGATATGATTGGGCCATTATTTCCTTGACATTTTTAGATTTCTGAATAATTTAAACATAGTCGAAAAAGTAGCATACTTTTACCAAAGGAGATCTGAAAGCAACTCTTCTGCGCTATTTTCTTAAAGACAGTAGCACATAGCTATTCTCGGGCCTCTTTTGTGCTTTGAACAGAAGAATAAGACCCTTTCCAGTGTGTTCCCCTCTATAATATAGTTTCAACTCTCGAAAAATTCTACCCTATAAACGTTTTGCAGTAGCGGAGCATAGCAGTTCCACTTTTTCTAACAATTCCCGCAAGTCACACTTCTTTGCAGAAAACTTATTGATTAGGAGTGAATATAGTGGAAGAAAAATTGCTTATTTCTTATGTGATGATGAACGATTGAGCATAAACACACATATTACGGTTTTCGACAATAAAAATCGTTGTAATTGAGGCTGAAAAAGCATGATCTTATTAGCGGAATAAGCGAAGTTTCAGAACATGACAGCGCGGAAAGAAGCATATGACACATTTCCACTGTACGATTCAAGTTATAAAAGGCCACAAACACATTAGAGTTTACTTCTCAGCTTGGAAGAAAACCCTCCTTTTTAGAAAATAGATATTTTGCTTTGAATTTTAGAATGCAATGTGAAGTCCAAATATCGGTGAAGCTATTTGGGTAGCAAAGAAATTGACCTTGCTCTCTAGGGAAACAGCAGAGGCACAGGTTTTTGCACAATTTTTGATTCCTTAGAATTACTGAAAACATCAAATATTTTGACATAATGGCCGTGAACAGGAACTCATAGAGATCTCAGAACTGATTATCAATGCTGCAGTAATATAATAGTTTCAATGGTTCGAAAATAACCTCTCAATAATGACTTGAATCGAACATGGGTTGAATCTTTGCGATCTCTGACCAAGAGAATGGATAGTACGATAGTCAAGAATAATCCTTTAGAACAAGAAATCATTCATGAAAGAGGTTTGAAAAAGAGCTTGAGGGCTTTGGTCAAGTTATAGTCACTAAAGTATATTCATTTTTATCAGTTGATTCCTAAATGAAGTGCTAGTGCGTCTTGTCTATTTTGGAATGCAGTCATTGTACACTGAGCCAAAAAAGCTATATCGGAATACCTATTAATATCTTATTCAAGTGAGCATTCTGGCTGCTTTTAGTTGCAGTCACGTTTTCGGTGAAAACAAGAAAAGCTGGGGCGATTTTTACTCTGGCTTCCGAAATTTTGGTAATTTACCTAGATTAGTGGACCTGCAGATAACAACAGTATCTAACATTTGAAAATGAGTGACCCTGGGTATGAAATATCCAATATACCTGTTTTAATTTAGGAAGTCAATCCTCAGTCATTGCCGATCTTGGCAAGTTGATTGTTGACAATTGCCCGCCCATGTTATGCACAGGACTCGATTGTGCTGTTGTCACAGAACGAAATGGTTGCCAGGTACTGCATATTCCTAATTTTTCGCTCGAATATTTATTGTAATATTCTGACCGACCCGACATTTTCCTTTCATTGCAAAGCCGACGGTCTCAGTATCGAAATCGAAAGTATCCACATTTCCTGTTTGCATTGGTGTTTTACGTCCAGTGATCAATCACAGACTTTCGTCCCAAATATATCGTGGTTTGCAGCAAGTTTTCGCTGCGTGAAAGAATGCGAATATTTGGGTTTGGTCAGAAAACTATTGAAAACTTCACGACTTTGCCTTCAACGGTGTTGCACTTTATAATTTGGTAAAACAATAAAAACCATATCATTACTAGAAGGAGACTTTGATGGAAGTAAATGTGAAAAACTTCACTTTAAAATGTTATAATTTTTTAGAATTATTCTAGTTCTATTAAAGTCCTTCTTGCGTCACAGAATACTCGAACGAATTTCTTATTAAGCCGTTTATGCGTTTTGTGACTTTTACTGAGTCATGAAGCAAGGCAGTGTCTATCCCACAATTCTTAAGTAACGCTAACGTCTAATTGATATTTGCTTTTTTTTCACTCCTTCCGAGTCCAGGAATCAGTACCAAAAAGATTTTCTTCACTTGTAAGAATTATAACCTCTAATTTACTTGTGGTAGAGAGAGTGTAAAGTTGTTTCTTCAGTCTCAAAGCACTTAGCTAATTTGTATCCCAGTAGCAGAGCAAGTTTCCCTAGTGAGGGCATGTGAAGCGAATGATGCAGTCTTGTTTTGTTTAGGAACTTCCCTTCTGTAATTTAGCCGACAAGCACCATTAAGGCTAACTGAGATCTAAGATTTCCTTTCGCAGCGAAACGACAAGAAAAGCCATTTACGCTTGCGTTCTCAATTTCGTGACTAAAGCGTTCCTGTCATTCCTCAAATTATTCACTTCGATGACGTTTCCGCATCTTTGGACTGTAAGGAATAAGGTCTTCAAGTGAGCTCAGCACTTAATGTAACGTAGAGCATTCTGGGAATTCTTAGAACAAAGCCCGACGAATCCGTAAAAAAATTGCGAGATCCTCGTGATGTCATTTAAAAATTGAGGAGCAACGCTGCTTTGCGATCGGAGCACCATTCCGCGACTATTGGGAAATTTTTAGAGCTTTAGAAAGACGAAGAGGTATGAAACCGTCTTCTTGCTGTCAGGTTGAAAAGAAAAGAATGTCGTTTTTTGCGTTTTTTCAGCCAAAAGTGATTTTCACGAACAAGGTATATCCAGAGCAATTTATGGTCAAAGTTAATTTTGTAGTATACAACGCATGCTTGGGAGAAGCCTAAGACTGCTGGTGGCCGAGTGAAATCCGATTTTCAAATAAGCTGTTCTTACATTTTGATTTCAACTTCGCGTAAATCACGACTAACGATATTGAAGGTCTTCTTGTAGAGAGCTTACTTTGCTCCACTTTTGGATCCATATTTTGCTTTATCCAGCTTATTTGATAAAAAGTTTGCTACGGCTTTCTTTGAATTATTTTCCAAATTTCATTCAAGTTGGGTCTCTTATGCGCGTATGCACATCAAACTTGTTATTCATACCCGCTTCTTCATTGTGAACAAGCCAATTGTTCATAGAGCATAATTTTTCGCGATAGAGCATGTAACTGATGGCCCTGTCTTGAGCTTTTAGCTCTGGTGAGACCCGTGGAAGGGCGATACAAAAAACAGTTCCACTCTGATCACATCTCCGCGATTCCAAAGCTCAGCTCTAAACCACGCGAAAATAATGCCCTTTTTCTTTTTTGTCTCATGAACAAAATCCAGATAGCTGCAACGCTACATGTACTCAGTCTTGGTTCCATTACCTAAGAACCTCCGGAAGGTTAAAGGCACCGTCCACCCTAAGTTAGGGGTCTTTAGTTTTTGCAGCTCATGATAGTAAGACCCCCTATCAAGCCAAGGCCTAAGCCGCAGCGCCAAATGTCGCTTCGCGAGAAAATCGCTTCTGAATAGTGAAGATGATGAACATTCCAAGTAGGCACCGCCCCTTCAGTAATACCCGCCCGTTCCGGAAATTCGACCTGCGGGTTCGCCGGAACGGGGATTGTCGGAATTTTCGGGAATTCTCGACTTCATATTCGATCAGAATCAGGGACATGAGAAGGCCTCGACGAACAAAACATGGAAGTCAAGAATTAGGGTGAACGGTGCCTTCAAGCGCATTGTATTCTCGTTTCTTCGGCGAGTTATTGTAGAAGTAGAAAACCGGTTAAAGCGATTGACCATTATAACAAGACATTCTGAAAGCGCGTGCTTGGGTAATTAAAATCACATTATAGGGCGCGCGAGACTCTAAGTGGAAGCACTGTTTCATTCCTGGAGAAATTCAAGTTACTGTTTCTAAATCTTCATATCTCTATTGCAGCTATGTGCATGCCCTATTGGTTCTCCAGCTCGAGGTTGCGATCCTATGCCTTTCATCCTCTGGCATGACTTGATCGTGAACGGATGTCCGAACGTAACGCTGAACAGTCGTGACCCAGCACAAAAAGTTCACCGCTGGTTCAGGAGGGTAAGCGGCAATACTTCTAACATTTTAACTTGGAAAAACTGCAGTTTTATAGGTAAACCGATTCACAAACACTGACCAATGTGAACCCTACATCTTCCCCTACTGCCCTGAGTTAGACTTCAACCTCTGGAGGTCGCCAAGAACCAAACAGGTAACCTATAATGTTTATTGTTCAATTCTAGTGGTCTATTAAGACACATTTTCCCGAAAAAAGATCTGCAAGTATTTGCGAAAACATCTTAGCCTCAAATGCTTAGAAAAAATGTACTTTCTTAATTATCCGTAATAAAATTAAGGCAATATATCAATTACACAATTGACAGCTAAGGTGCCATTAATTTCTTCTTAGTCAGCAAAAAAACTGGTCCACTTCATTTTTTTCATCTTCTATGTTTTGCAATGAGCTGGTTTTGCGCGTACGGTCACCAAAGAGCGAAAAAAAATAATTGAACGATGCCTAAGCAATTTGAAAAGTTCATAGTATAAAAAGCTGGTTTTGTTTGCTTTTTGTTAGAATTTTTTCACACGACTATTTTTCCGAGTTGGGAATCCCTGACAACGTACAAAACTATTTTTTGCCTACAGTTCTTTGTGACAAACGTTCTTTAAATAAAAGAGAAAATAATATGTGTTACTTTTTCACTCGGTTTAGTTCCTTCTGTTCTTACAAGTAGGAAAAATCTATCGAAAAAAAGTTAAGATAAATTCAGATTTTATACTTGTAACAAAAATCAAGATGGCTGTGAAAATTTTTTAGGAGAAAAAATTCAGCGATCAGTATAGAGAGTAAAGTGTTACCAACGTGGGTAAATCTTTTCACGTTGTTAGCGAAGAATTTTTGACGGACATTTTGAAAAATACGGATCTTGTTCGAACAATTCTGCAGAATACGGAAACGAGGTATTTGGTTTTAAATTCAATGTGGAATTTTTAGAATAGATGGTTCTAGCTCTCTAGCTCAAACAATTTGGAGCTTTGCAGAATACTGAAAATCAAAATTTGAGAGAGATGTTTTGGAATAAATGCTTGAAACAAAATATCAAACACTCTGTTGTTTATAGTGATTCGGTGATTTCGCGGTTCTGAACGTTGCGAAAGAGTTTGCGATAACTGCCTGCAATTTTTTCTCTCGCTAATGTGCCGTCATCTCTGCCCCCCCCCTCGCTCCACCCAAAGAATTGCAATAAATTGCCGATGTCCAAGAACCGTTACCGTTTGCAAGGTCGACAAGTGATATAGCGTCGTTACGGCAACAAAACTAGCACGCTTTGAGGTTAAATCACTTTGTTCAGGATTTCCATAGCCTCTTTAGCATAAATGGGACGAATTCGTACCGAAAAATTTGAAAAATTCAAACTTCTGATGTTGTATTATCCGTAGCTTTCGGTCAACAGAAAGCAATGAGATTTGAAGTAATGTTGTTCTCAAAATTTTGATATTCTATTTCAATGCAATGTGGAAAATTCTGGGGAGGGAGAGAAAGAAATGCGATGAAATTTTTCTCCTGAAAACACAGCAATTTATTTCAAGTTTTTGCAATCTTAAAGCGATCACAACCCTTGAAGTTTTTCTCTGCACAACTCAAAATTCAATTTCAAAATTCCTTTTCTTGGTTTTGAGTAAAAAAAAGTCTTGCAAGTCTTGTGAACACATGGAACGTATTTCAGAAATTTTGCGACCAACACCCCCCCCCCCCCCCTCGCCTCCTTTCAATCTGCTAAAATTCGCTGAAATGCATTCTTGTACTGGCATTGGCAAAAAACCAAGAAAAATTTACATCCATACTTCCGCTGGTTCTCGAGGATGGCGCATTTTGGATACCCTTTAGATATGTGGGTTTCTGAGTGATCGGAGGGTTGGGAGGGGGGAGGGGGGAGAGAAGCTTAAAGCTTGGAGTAGTTGGCTTTCAGTACTTCATCGTATTCGTAATAGGAAAATTTTGAGCAATATTATCGATTTTTTGATACCCTGACTTGATTGCTTTCACTGTGGCTACGCGATGCATTTTGTCGGAGCGAACTTCCTAAGCGCTTATCGGAGATAGGCGGAAAGAATTAACAAGGCGAAAACTTCTTATATCTTTTCGCGAACATATCGAGGTCAGCACTGGAGAAAATCAGCGATACCGCATGCGAATCCAGGGGTCAGCAAGCACTCGAAAGGAACACGCTGAAAGCAAGCGAATCTCTTGAGATTGTAGCACAGATATTATTTTGGGACCTGAGTTTTGCAACTTTTCCTATAACTTTTTTCCTTACTCAATGTAACACTCTCATTCTCTAGCATCATTTAGGTTGTGACGTAAGCTACAAGTCTGCGCAAATGTTTGATTTTTGATAACGTAGTAGAAAAAGCATTTTTTTGAAAATCCTCGAAAATCGAGGTTTCATTGCTTTTTGGCAAACATAAAGTCGTACAAAACCTAAATGACACACAAAAAGGATTTATAGGCAGCATGCAGCTAGAAGTTGATACATTGAAATCAGTAAAAAAAGAAGTGAAGTTTGAGGACAGATTAAGATAAGGCGCATTTGAAAAGTAGAACAAGTCAAATGAGTCAAATTTGGAGGGCAATCTTTCAAAAACTGTGCTGCGAAACCTTAGAACTTTGCTGAAGCATTGCACAATGGTGTAATCCATTACGGTGAACGCGAATATCAATTCATTTGTCGCTAAGATAAAACGCTTTCCTTGGCCTTGCGAAAGAGGCTTTTTCTTGCGAAAAGAGTTTCATTTCTGTGATCAGCATGTCAAATAACCCCATAGACAGTTTCCACAAAATCTGACGCAGTCTTAAATTTTTCCCATTGTATCGTAAACCTACCGTAACCCCTACATAACATGGCAAAATTCGGCAAAAATGCCTGCATTTGCAGTTTACATCATAACCCTTATACTATCCAGATACGAATGCGCTACAGACAAAAGTTATATAGAAACATTGCATTACTTATGTGCCAACCCAATATTTTCTAACAGCAAAATGAGCTTGAAAATTTTTTAACCTCCCTGAATTAGTTGTGGGGCTATTAAGGCTACTTTTTCTTACAATCCCATGCGCCGCTTACAGACTGCAAGCTTTGAAAACTTAATACAGTACATCGAAAACTTTCGCAAGCATCATGATGTTCGGTAAAAATGCTGCCTAGGGGAAATAAAAATCAATTAAGAAATAAAAATTGATAGGATTTTTACGTCGCCAAATCATCTCGATGCGCCCACAAATAGCTTGAGAGATATGAGCAAGTAAGAAAAAAATTGTTCTTCCGTTCGGGCAGGGGAGGGGAACAGAAATTTTTTTCCAATGATGGGGCTTGGCGCTAGCCACCTCCGCAAAATTTTTTTGGCCTGCTTCCCAAAATTTCTGCGGGCCCATTGTCCCGAAACTAGAAAAAGGAAGCGTGGCACCAGCCACGCTTTTCACAAAGCTAATGTGCATTTTTGAGAAATTTCAATCACTTGCACATTTTCAAGACCTCTGCTCGTCGTTGCTCAAAAAAGTTCATTCACTAATTTATTTCCTACTATGTGGTTACCAATAATCGATGGTGTAAAGAAGAAAAAGAAAAGTGGTCAAAGTTTTTTCAATCGCATTTCCAAGTTTTGATTCAAATAAGCAGGATAGTTGATGAAAAATCAGACTTGGATTCGCTGTTCTCATTCACTAGCTTTTGAGAACATACAAAATCATTTGTAAGTTCAAGGAAATCAATTTTACCATTTCAGGAATGCGAGCTCTATTGCTACTCGGTGGACGAACAAAGGAAGCGTGGTATTATCTAAGCCTATGATATTATGTATATTTAGCATTCATTCAGTTTATTGACTTTGAAAAGTAACTATGTCTTTTAATAAAATGTTGAAATTGAGTATCGCTAGTGGATGTTTTTCTCATTGTTCATTTCCATTTTTCGCAAATTCATGATCTGTGATTTGGTGCGATAGCCCTGTGCCGACAAGCATGATAGGAACGCAAGCTTGTTTTGCGATATGCAGAGTCTGGAACCTGTTTTGTAAAGGAAGCATTCAGTCCCTACAAGAAAATCTCGGTAAGAACAATCCTGGTGATGATGCGGACTCAGGCAATGGAGACGACGATAATCAAAAAGTAGATTTTTCGTTCTTTTGGGGCTTTCGGTGCAGCGGCATTCTGATATTGTTGTCAGAGTAGCTTAGAGTTATCGCAAATAATAAAGATTTTCTTCTTTACTTTTCAACCAACTCGATTTCGTCAAAGATTGTAAGTAACGATGGGATTTACTTTAGATGTCTGATAACTAGAAAAAGACGTGATTGATGAGTCGATGTTGTTTGAGATAAACAGCCAGTAATGCACTGTCTACACAAGTAGTGGTAATATAAGGAAATTTCGATTCTGAGAGGGGATGGCTCCAAAAAATGGATGCTTCCCTACTTTTTAGTAAGTCTCAACATTTCTTTGACAAGGTCATTTTGTTTTTCAAAATTCAAAAAAAAAACATTTCAAATGCTTACAAGTAAAACAAATCCATTGCACAATTTGATAACTCATGCAGGAATCTCTGAAAACAACGCAACCTATTCTCTATGCTCCCTCCTCCTCGCCCTTCCTGCTCTCGCCATACCCTCTATAGCCTACAGAATGAGCCTCAAAAGTGAAGGTTGTCTGAAGAAGAGAAGAGCAAGAGTTGTGAAGTGAACCGCAAAAGCAAAAGGAACTTCCAAAAAGGGTAAGAACGCGCATTTAGTTCGAAACCTTTTTTGGCGGTATTTTATATTGCAAGTTTTCGTTTCAGAATGACCGATTCACAACTTGAGGAAAAAGAGGGAAAGCTAATTCTTTTCGCACCTGTCTAAGGGCCACATGCATTATCATCCCCGCCGGTGAGGCGATCGCAGCTCAAAAGGCTTCATATTCTGAAGCTACAGATGTCTGAATTTTACGCCGTATAACCTACCCACAGTTACTCTCACCGCCATCCACTATGAACATATTGAACAGGGGCAAGAAGCTGTACAAGCCGCATTTCCCAGCTTTCTATAGATTCCCCAACGATCCCTGGCAGCGACCTTCTTTTCTACGAAGTCATGTTTCTTGGTTCAAAGTTAATGAAAACGTGCCAAAGTGTACCGATTATCTAATTTAAGGGTTGTGCCAGACTGCGCCGCGTACACAGCGTACGCTTACATGCATAAAGATATGGCGCGTACGCCGCGTACGCCGCGCAGTCTGGCCCAACCTTGACAGTGCTAAGTATGTTGCTGATGAGAATAAATTAGTTTTGAAATATCGAATTTCTAGACAAACCCCAACTTTAACTTGTGGTACATCACAGATTTCATCATTCCAGAGCATCATTTTAGTTGAGCATCTGAGAAAGTTCTTGCACAAAGATGTACAGTATTTTTAGCCCGCTTTAGGCGGAAATTGGGTTAGCGGGCATCCGCTTAACAACGGTTCGCGCCGTGTTGCATCTGCAGTATATTAGACTAACAAGGAAAGGATACTTGGTGACCGTGGCCTTTTGAAATGATACGTACACCGTTAAATGCATCTTGAAGCGCTGATTCCAAATCTGTTTTCATTATCTGCTGTGCGCTCTTCCGAAAGAAGTTATGAACATTTCTTGTCACCAAAATTTGCACTGTTTTTAATGCGGAATTTACCAATATCGTTAGAAAGTTCGCTTACGCACTACAAAAGAGCATACAGATAAAATAAAGCTTCACGGTGAGTTCAGGAAAGCCGTCACCAATACATCAGAGTCTAAAAAGCCTGGATACTGACGATTTTGACTGCCTAAATCTCGCAAAATCAATATGGAAAAAAGTCCATAACTCCGTTCAGGGAGTAGCACAGCAGATAGTGAACATAGATTTAGAATCAGCGTTCCAAGACGCACCTACTGGTATACATCTCATTGCAAAAGGCCACGGTCACCAAGTATCCTTCCCTCGTAAGGACTAGTAGGGTCGCTAGTAAGTGGGTTGGGGCAGATACATTGATAACTGTCTGTATGCATCTAAGAATAGCAAGAAACTGAGTTTCCATTTCCTCTATCTTTAGCGCGATGTAAGTAGTAGTAGGGGCAAAATCATATTTTCAAGGAAACAATTGACAACGAGTATCCCAAATCATCTACGCTGTTCTTTTTGCAAATACTCTACCCCAGATACCACAGCTCCTAAACATGGGAATTACCTCAGCAGTCATCGGTGTAAAAAAGCTAATTCAACACGAAACTCATGCTCACACCCAGAAACTGGGCAACGGCTGCAAACTCACCGACCTTCGCTATTATGCACAGTCCTATCTCCTTAAAATGTGAAGTCATTTCTTAAAGCAAGACCAAAGCTCGCTCAAAGCTTTCTCCTGAAAAATCTTAGCAAAAATATCCTGCCGCATGAAGTTCTTCGGTCTTCCTTCCGCCAAACCAAGCTTCGCTTGCTTTTCTGCATTTAGGAGCAGAAGTACGATTTTCGCGAAATAGGAGCTTTAGCCTTAAAAACAAGGAATTCTTAGCAAAAATGTCTTGCAGCAGTAGCGACCCTACGGGTCGATAGTAAGTGGGTTTGGCCAGATACATTGCTAACCGTCGCGTGCGACTAAGAGTAGCTAGGAACTGAATTTCCATTTTCTCAACGATCTTTGGCGCAATGTAAGTCGTGGTAGAAGCAAGATCATACTCTCAGGGGAAAAGGTAAATTTTGCAAAGCGGCTTTCACCAAATTTTGCAAATGTACCCCCGAGCGAAAACGGGTGGCGGTCAAGATGAACGATAGCATGTGCCAGCTGCCAGCTGGGTACCGTAACGCGGTGCGCTGATCGCTCCGCCCCCTTGTTAATTAGCCTAGAAATGCGTTGCAGATATTGAAAAACTCTCAAATACTTCGTTCATGCTCCTTTCGTTGGTTGGAATTTGGATAACAGTAGATTTCAAAATTTCAGTTAAATTGAAAATCTAACTTATCGAGGAATACTATTATTATTGCTGAAATGACCAACACCATTATCTCTTTTATCGGAAAAGTAAGTTTTAAAAACCTAATGATAGCTAAAAACAGATTTCATTGCGACGAGAATTCAAAACAATCATTATAGGCGAATTTTGTTTCAAGCAAACTAACTCGTTTTGCAAATATGCGGTCATATTATATAAATTTTCTTAGATTTCAGGAAAATCATACTGCACTTACATATTTTCGAATCTGCCTTAAATAACAAAATTCTTTTATTTTGCTTCCAAAAACTGCTATCCCTAATATAAATCAATCTGTAACTCAATCGAAATTGCATGTGAATTAGCCTTAAGATGTGAAGTCACTCAGACAATCATGCCTGAGGTGTTCTAGATTGATTTCACACTTCAAAATTGGATATCCAGGAGTCACTCGGTCATTCATAGGTAAATCAGCAAATCTCTCGGATTTCACTCAAAACATCAGCTGTTCATTGATTCCAAAAAAAAAGAAACAAAAATTCAAAACAAAATTCTTTAAATAGTCGAGCTTCACCCCAGCTTGCAACAAGCTTATATCTCACTATCAAAAGTTGATTTTACATGACGCTAAAGTCCGAGAAACTCGTCCGCCGCAGTAGGGCGGAGCTTCGAGCGAATACGTTATTGCCAGTTCATGACCTCGCGCGCTACTGGTACCAGCTATCGTTCATCTTGACATATACCCAGCGAAAACCTAGGGCTCTGCATGATCGCGAAGATGGGTGAATTCACCATTGCTTGGGTTTGAGCTCTCTCAGTTCTCTTCCTCTTTCAAACGCTTTTCTGCAATCATACGTTAGCTTTCGATTACCTGTAGCGATTTCGAAAAATATGAGGGGTGTTTACCTAGTTGAGGGCCCTATAGAATCTTTCTCAAGCACTGATCGCAAACGCACCGACCTTCGCGATTATGCACAGCTCTATAATTTGATAATGTCTCCCAACGCATGGAGTCATTTCTTAAAGCGAGACTAAAACTCGCTCAAGCATAATCTAGCGAAAAGGTCCTGCCGTATAAAGCCCATGGCTCCATTCTCCTTTTGGACCAAGCACCCTTTGCTTTTTTGTTTTTAGGAGCAAAAGTATAGATTATCAATTTTTTACCGTTTTTGCTAGAATCGTTGTCTTTTTGTATCCTTCCTACAAATAAAGGCTTAAATAAACAATTCCAAGATGGCTATCAGGAAACAGCCCAAAACGTACTCTATCTGAAGTTCTGAGCTGAAATCTTGTAATACTCAAAAACGAACTTTAATGTAAAAAATCGTGTCTCCGCCCCAACAAATCTCAAAAATTCCCCATTTATCTTAGCATATGCTTGACACATCGAACATTCAGTGTTACACTTTTCGTAATTTGTTCGTGGCTAGAAACAAAGAAAAAAGGAATGGAGTGAAGTGACACCCGCCCCTGGACGTCCTGAGCTCCTCCCACACACGTGATCATATGAATACGGCCCAGACATACAGGGGTTATCAAACGCAGTGTCGCTTGCATCAGCATCTCCATTCTCGCGCTGGACTCTGCGTCTTTTCCGTGAACATCCTCTCTAATCAATTCCAATCGATTGAGGCTCCGCCTTTCCCACGCTCGCCCTGGGAAAGTGGTCAGAGAACATGTTCGCGAAAGAGATGCAGAGTCCAGCGCGAGTGGAGATGCTGATGTGAGCGACACTGCGTTTGATAAGCCCTATACGTAAGTACCATCATGTATCTGTACCCTTTGTAAGTGCCTCAGTTCTCGAGAAATGCTGATGTTAAGGGTAAAGCGGTACAAAAAATTATGGGACACCCTAAACAATACTCGTGAAGTAGGAGCGGCCAAAAGTGGATTAAGCAAGTTTTTTATATAATTTAGTATTTGAAGCTAGAAATTCTGAGCAAAAATATCCCGCGGGATGGACTCACTTGGTCTTTCCTTCCCTCGAGACCAAGCTCCCGCTTGAGCTTTTAGGAGCAGAAGCATAATTTTCGCAGTAAGCTATCATTTTTGCGAAGTAGGAGCTTTAACCTTGAAAACAAGGAATTCTTAGCAAAGATGTCCTGCGGCAGTAGCGACCCAGGACATCTTTGTACCCTACGGGTCGCTAGTAAGTGGGTTGGGGCAAATACATTGATAACTGTCGCATGAACTAAGAACAGCAAGGAACTGAATTTCCATTTTCTCAACGATCCTTAGCACGATGTAAACCGCAGTAG